GGCAAGTGGACCAGGCAGTGCCTATGACTAAGAAAGCCAGACGGGCTTTTCACCTACAGATGTTTTAATGTGCTTAACATTATCCAATACTAGCAACCAAGATAGTCTAAATACCCCAGCAGGATCTGATTAGCTTTTTCAGATCACTGCCTTTATTTGCTGTTTGCAAAAAAGCTTAATCCAGTGCTAGAGATCAGGCTCCCTGCTGAGCCCTTGGGTAGTTTTCTCTCATTCTTTGTGTTCACAGTGGCAGGAATTAGTGAGAAGATTCCTCCTCCTCCTCCTCCTGAATTAAAGCTATAAAGTAGTAACTATAGTAGCAGGGGATAAAGAGAAGAAAGGAAACCCAGGGGAAAAGAGAGGACTTTCTATTCATACTAAAGAGTTTCCTTTTTATACACACAAAAAAGTTTTAATATGAATTCATAAATATTGACCTGTCTCTCTGAGTGCATAGCTTAGGTTTTATTAGGGTTTAGTTGTAACTACTTTGCTTTCGTGTGTGTTATATTTTTTATTTTTTATCTTGCTAAATCAAACTCCATTTTACCAAAAGAAGTACATTTGCTAACCATCCTAGTGGCCTTGATTTATGTTTCTTACTCCTTTTGCTCATGAAATTTTAAAGAGAAATACCACCACGTCACTTTTAAAACATTTTTTAACTTTCTTCGCTTCTGTGACATTCATATGCTTACCCAAGACATAAAGTCTAAACTCTGTGTAATTTACCTTATAACTTGCAGTAAACTATGTTAGAGATGCTTTATCTTTAATGCGCTTACAACATTAGACCATAGGCTCACCTAACTGCAGAAACATTACCGTAAATAACCCTTGGCAGAAAAAGAATGGTTTCTGCTTTAGACCTAATAATTACATTTAGTTAGAAAATATTTCCACAGATTTTGAACTTTTCTAACATTTGGGAATGATATACCTTAATAAAATAGTAAACTCTTTGGAGAAAAAATATAGACAGTGATCTAAAGTATACTCTGTGTTTTTATTTTATTTCTGATAACAGGACTTTTTCAGGCTTCTGGTAGGCATAAGGAATGTTTTCTTCAGTGAGATAACTGAAAATTTGTAACTGTATGGAGTAGGCCTTCCTCTTGGGTTGTAAATAGAGAAAATCTCATTGACACTTGAGTGGACACAGTAAGGGCGTGGCCAGGAGTCCCAACTGGCACTTTTCCCCCAAGTGTTCACAAATGACCCTAACGGAGAGTAGCTCCAGTATTTGTGATTGGTTTCTATCGTTAGGGGTGCTTTAGCCAATTTTACATCTTGGCTCTCATAATGATACAATGATAAATCCTAGGCTGTGCATAATTCAGCCTGTATCAGAAAGTCGAATTTTAGTAGCAGCTCCTGCTTTACCTGGAGGAGAGTGAAAAGTGGGTGCGTGCTTGTGTGGGCGGGTGGGGGCGCGAGCTCACAAAAGTAGGTGGTGCGTTGGAGGTAGGTTTCCTTTAGCGGGGGGGGGGGGGGGGGGGAGTATTTTCACAACACCTGAGGGGTTGTAAATTTTGGTTGAACTTCTTTAATTGAGGCCACTCAGGATGAAACTGCAGCCCTCAAAAGCATGTAGTGGTAGCATTGTAAGTACTGCATTCTGGAAGTTGGAAATAAATCTGGGGTAACAAGCTTCCTCCCCGAGGAGGTCCATTTTGGTCATTCTTCCCCCCATATTTCTTCTTCATAAAGTTAACTTGTTCCTGAGCTGGAATTTGAGCTGAAATACAAATCCCTTTAACAGGTGTAATAATGTTGTATATTAGAACATAATGAAAGCTTTTATTTAATGAGATGGGTGAGTGGAATCCGTAATAAAAGAGTTTTACGTGGCGTTGCACATGTGTAAGGTGAGCCGTGCTGGCGATTTTAGGCTGAACGTAAGCAGTTTTGTCTAAATGTATAGTTTGGATGACACATTTGGCACACAGTTGGACCACACTCGTTTCGTCTTCCCACACTACAGGACTAGTGAACTCACTTTTTAAAATTCTGTGTGTAAGCTCTTATCGCTCCCCCTCCCTTTTTTGTCTTTTTATTGGCCTTGCAACAAACGAACCAATACCTAAAAATATTTTGGATTTCCCAGTGTTTCCAGGGAAATCGTTTGACTGTAGCCTTCTGTCTCATTTCACTAGTCACTCATTTATTAAAGAAAGGGATTACTGCAGTAGGGAATCGCTGCTTTGACACACTTCATTTTCTTTATTTCTCAAAACCCCAAAGCTAATAGACTGGAGTGGAGCCTCAACTTTTTGGAAACATGCAACTCTGACTACTTGAAAATAGAATTGGTTTCTTTGTTTGGTGCATGAAAAGCAAGGAGGAAAAGCCGAAGGCCGCCCAAGCCAGGTGTTTCTTGTTGGCAGCCTGCTGCCTAATGACTCCGCTCCCAAAGAGCAGCTGCCGGCGAGTGGCCTTTGTCTGGCCTATTGTTGCCCGCACACCCCTCGTTAATACACACGCTGCCCGGGGCAGGCCCCGGGAATGACATCAACTCGCTTATGGTAGGAACCTGCGAACCTGACGCAGGGAGCCGAGCTTGGCCCGCATCTGCCCAACTAATTGTGAGCTCCCGCGCCGTGATTGGCTGTCCCTCCACTCGCTAATCGGTTCAGCCAAGACATTGCCATTGCATCTGTCCAACCATTCATTGTTCTTCCTGGCTGCCTGCACGTCTGCGGCTACCACTGTGTTAAGGAGTTCCCGCTGAAGCTGCTGCAGAAACGTCTTTGTATTTTCCTGCCGCCGTGAGTATCTGCGCTACTTAATGCCTGCCTCCCAAGTTCAACTTGGCTAAATACCGAGAGTATTGACTTGAACTTTGTAGAAGAGAGGATACGCCTCAAACGAAAGCCTACAAATTATTATGGAGTGCCAAAATACAAGATCATTCTCTCCGTAAAATACGTGCAGCAGATCTTTTACAGGTTTATCTTCTGGAGTCCGATCAGTCATTACAGCCTCATGAACGTTTGCAAGGCGCTGCGCACGGCACGTGATCATTTGGTAGTTAAAGATAAGTGATGATCACATGTTCTGATATTTTGACAAACAATGAATTAGGATTTTATCTTGTCACATTCTTAGGTTCCTTAAAGTGTCACTGTCAGACTTAGGTGCTCTAAGCTGATAGTAAGATATGATCGATTTTCCTACTGTCCTAAAACTCTAGCTTGGGGAGATGGACCGATGCACAGGTAGATGTTTCAGAGAGCTTGCTGTAAATACAGTGACTAAGTGTTCACCTGCTCTGTCAGCGGTTTTTGATAGTAACATAGAGTTCTGATTTCTCCCATCTCTTTTTCCCTGCAGTGGTTTCAAACATTAGGCTGAAGATGTCGTTCCCATAACTATTGCTTTCACGAGTTGTGTAATGGGGAAAGGAGGAGGAGACAAAGACTTTCATCTATCAGTTGGGAGGGAAAGAGAGAGCATAAAGAGTTAAAAAGAGGTTTTCCTTTCTACCACATGCCCTATTGTGTGAACATATGCAGGAGTCTATTGAAAGTTTTCAGAAGATGGGCAGGCCACCAGTTGCTGGTCTCCTGCAGTTCTAGTAGACATCTGCTGCCCCAGAGCATTAACCAATCTGTTCAAAGGGACATCCTTCCTTTGTTAGCTAGAGGGATGCGGACAACAGCACTCACTGAAATACAATGGTAATTAAATACACAGAGACTACAGCAGTAGGTATTTATTACATATTCATTATTTTATTTTCATTGTTCTCATAGTATTACCATTTGGATAACAACCAGAACCCACTTTATGGCATTGTAACTTTACATTACAAACAAATAAATTGATTTAACTACTTTGTGGTCTAATATTCCGGATCTGTGAGGCTCTTTAGAATAAAAACAAAAACAAAAACTTTTTTACTGGATTTGAGGTGAAGGATTATCCAAGTCATCTAATGAGAACTTTCAAAGATCTCACCAAACGGGGGAATTCGTGTGTATACAACACATTTCTAGTAAATAACCGTTCTATTATAAACCTACTTTCAGCTAATAGAAAGTTTCTTTTTGACAATTAAAATAGTTACACTTCATCATCTACAAAATTAGCATGAAAATTTGGTTATTTTTCAACAAATAATATTATTTGATTTTTAATCTATTAGGCCTTTGGCAAAGAAAATTATTTCTGTGTCCAGGATAGTATCTGGATGGAAGCTATAGCTTTGTAAGTGTAGAAATCTGTGTTCAGACCATGATATTTTTGCCCAGTGCTTTTTGTATTCATGAATATAGTGTGTAAAGGCCAATTACAACAGATTCCTGATATAAAGCTTAAAAGTTAAGCCATATTTTTTGTAGTTTTTTGATAATGATGGGAGTATAAACGCTGACCTATTTTATGTGTGAAATTTTGTCTACGTTGCTTTTTCATGAACTGGGGGAAATTAGCCTTATTGGTTAATAGTTGATTAAAGGTGGTTTACCTATGTTTGCATCTGAGTACATGCAAACCTTAAAAGTCTAGTAAGCAATTTAGAATTAAGGAGAAAAGTATTTTCTGTCTTACATGTAATAAGAAATGTGATGGTATTGAAGTCTTTGCTGTCTTTTTCAACATTACATTGATAATTTTGAAGGCCCTGAACAAGAGTAAAGACCCTTTACTGTTCTTTGTCCTAAGATTTCTTGTAATAATTCCTTTAAGTTTTGTACATGACATGAACAAGTACTGCAGCCTATGAAAATATTTTTTCAGCTTTTAAATCTTAAGACTCGCCTTTAATATTTTATTGAATGATTTCAAGATCATTTGTGAAAAAAATTTTAACTGCCATATTAAGTCAGGGCAGTCTTTTACTAATTACGAATGGGTAAGGAAGCATTTCAGAGATGAAAGTTTTAAAAACCAAATGTTTGCCATTTGATCGGTACAAATAAGGCTGTTTCAGATTTGGATTATGTAGTGAAGAAAATCTGTGTGGCTTATAGGCCTGGTAACAACTCCTTTGCCCTTAAACTTACTGTTTCATATTTAGTCTGTTGATTGACAGAAACTAAAAATTATTTAACTGCTTGTTTAGGGAAGATGACGTTGGAAAATTCTGAAGTAACCAGTTGAAATATGGAACATGAAGAGAGAGGCCTGTCACTGTGGAAAAAAAGGTTCAGTGAGAATATTTGAAAAGAAAAAACTGTTTTGCCTAACAAAATAAAATGTTAGTTTTTTTTTTTAAAGTAGGGTAGATCAAGCTTACTTTTATCCTTAGTGTTAAAAATCATGTTAGCCCAGTTATCGTAAACTTTTTATTTAAATAGGATGTATAAATTACATGAGTGATTATAAGTTAAAGGTGTGTGATATTCACTGCATTTGTATACAGTTGCGTTTTCTGTGGTTTAATATTATAAAAAGTAAACTATTGGCAATCTCATTTTTTCTCCCTATTTTATCATTATAGCTGTAGAATAAAATTTAATAGAGCAGTTTTACATTGTGTCATGAACACTTTTTTAGATTAGACTGAAGTGATATAGAAAGATTTAAATATTTGTTTAGGGTGGATCATTTATGGTTTAAAAATCTTTACAGTATTGGTTTTCATTTCTTTGGAAAATGGGAAAATTCAGAATAATTTCACTTACTCTTTAAACATAACATTTCATTTCCCTGTTCCCCAGTGGCTGTGTTTTTGATAAAGTATTCATCTTTTCTGAAACTGTCCCAAAGGAGGACACTACTGCTCAATATTAAAATAATATCTCCTACTTCAAGTCAGGGATTGGGTCAGTGAGTCATTACCATGAAGAATTATCCCACAACAGCGCTTGTGCAGAACCCAAACTTTTCGGGGGAGATCAGCAGCGTGGCCCATTAAATACACTTCCTGCAGTCAGAACAGATTGCGGGGTTTACGGAACAATGATGTGGGAGCTTCCAGATTGGCCTGGCAGCTGCATTGTTCTCGGAGGGTAAACCAGACGCACTTAAGTCCCAGTCTCTTTTATAGGCTTTTGTTCATACCAAATTATTCTTTGACTGTGCTAGCATTCATGATGGCATGTTAAAAGAGTGCAGCTTAGCAACCAGCTTCTGGTTGCCAGGCAGCCCAGCTTCCAATAGGGTTTTCCTTGTTCGAGATACTTTTGGTGGGAGCTCTGCGAAGGCCACGGTGCAGATTTTTCTTTTAACTGTATCCCTTCATTAGGATTCTGTTGTGATTTGTTACTTGCATTATGGTGTCAGTATATTACAGTAGTTAATAAATCACTGGGTGTAAAGATGTGCTTTCAGAATCCCTTCCTTTAATTCTAAATAATTGGGCTCGTGCATATCCATATTAATAGGAAAAAAATGAAATAGATACGGCTCAGAGTTCTCCTAAAGAGTGTCTCTTTTTATCAGTTGTGCCGTCCCAGGCCAGGAGAACTTGCTGTTCCTTTAAGACTAATGAACGCTCTATTAATAGAACAGCGTTATCTGTCTTCTCGAGGGATAAAACCCGAAGAAACTCCTGTAGAAGTGTGTAGGAGTTCCACACGGAAGAAATGTTAAGTGTGTGGTTATCAAGCTAAAGATTCCATGTTCTGTTCTCTAGTATTTACCATACTTAATAGAATTTATTTCATTATGTGGAAATACTTCACTCTCTAATAAGTTCACCAAGTATGCATTCAGATGTTTGACTTCTTAGAAGAACACTTAGCATTTTTCTCTTAACATTTATATAATAGCTCCTTTCTAGTGTAAATAAGATGTTGAAGAGCTTTAGAATAAAATGTTTTTTACAATTTTCTTTTTTAGATTACTTAAATAGGTGTTTTATGACAGTCTCAAATTCAGCTACCCCTGCCTTACTAATCTCCCCAGATGGAACACTGGAATTGCCTTAATAAGTAAATTTACAGCCCTTGCACTGAAGCACAAGAACAGATAATTTTATTTTGCTAACCTGTTCCTGGTAGAGAAATAACAATGATTCCCAATGACTTTAAGGAAAACTAGTAACACAGCAAAAGCATTTTAAATTTTTTTTTTTTCAACGTTTATTTATTTTTGGGACAGAGAGAGACAGAGCATGAACGGGGGAGGGGCAGAGAGAGAGGGAGACACAGAATCGGAAACAGGCTCCAGGCTCTGAGCCATCAGCCCAGAGCCTGACGCGGGGCTCGAACTCACGGACCGCGAGATCGTGACCTGGCTGAAGTCGGACGCTTAACCGACTGCGCCACCCAGGCGCCCCAGCAAAAGCATTTTAAACAGCAAAGCATTCCTGGGGGTGGCAGGGGAGGGAGTAGCAGAAAGGATGACTTTTTAGCGAAACGTAGATAATGGTGAACTAATTATCTGATATAATACAGAGAGATATTTTCTTCTGTAAAATGCAGGAAATTAAGATAACGGTCAGTGTACTTAACTGTATGCTGCTAATTTTATGAGAACGATTTCATTTCTGCGCTTTCTAGCAATGTGCACAGAATAAAAAAGAGCTCTTTTCCCCTGGAGTGAAGTAGATGGTAGTGTCCTTGACAGTAAGGGTGGCGTATCATTAAGATTTGTATTCGTTACTATGTTCAGCAGTCACAAAATAAAGATTGTTAGGACAAAACTGTTCATCTCCTAAACGGAGTAGGATTCACTCTGTAATTATTTCATTCTTTGTTGGCCGTTGTACAATTGTGCTTTTACAGCACACCCCCTAAATTTTTTTTGAAATGTCTTTAGGTTGTTGTTAAGCTTGATCCAAATTAACGTCAATTTTTCAATTACAGTAAAGTTAATGTTTTCCTTTCTCTCCGTATGGCTTTCTCTTTAATCTTTACAAATGTTTATGAACTCTTTTAGAGAACTTGTACACAACCTATCCTGGTATATCTAAAACATGCTTTGGGGTAATGTTCTAGGTGTCGCTCTGGAAACATTGGCCTTTCTGACAGTGGAAAGGTCTCTTCCGTAATGGTCGAGAAGCATCATGACAGAGTGGGCGAAGCATGGGTTTGGGAGTCGGGCAAAACTGGGTAGAAAAAAATCCAGTTCCACTGGTTATTTTCTTTGTCACCTCAGAGGGATCGCATGGCATTCTAATTCCTAACTTCTTCATCTGAAAAATGGGGCATGATGCCATCTTGGGCAAAGGTGTTCCGCGGGATGAGAAGACGTAGGTAACTGCAAAGTATGTATTCGGTATAGTTTGGTAATAAATAATCTTTCAACTTCTTCACTGAAACAGGAATGAAACTGTACATAAGAGATTCTAAATATTTTACATTTTTTCTCTAGGAATACGGGGTGCTTTGCATTCAGGAATACAGAAAAAATAGCAAAGTGGAGTCAAGTACACATAACAGCTTCATGGGCTTGAAGGATCATCTGGGGCATGACCTAGGCCACCTTTATGTGGAGAGCACTGACCCACATTTAAGTACATCTGTACCTTGGTCAATGGTGGAAAAGCCAACAATGGATAAAGTTAATTCCGGGAAGGAAGAGAAAGAGGTGTCTGAAGAGAATGTGAGCTCTGGTGACTCTGAAGAAAGCACAAATTCCGATAACGAGTCAGACCAGTCGAGAAGCATTTCAGCAGAGCCATGCTTATTAACCAAGACTCACAGACAACTGTGTAGGTCTCCCTGCTTAGAGCCTCACATACTCAAACGCAGTGACATTTTGCAAGACTTTAAACCTGAGGAGTCCCAGACTACCTCCAAGGAAGTGAAGAAACCCCCCGATGTGGTGCGAGAATACCAAACAAAACTAGAGTTTGCACTGAAGTTAGGCTATTCTGAAGAACAGGTTCAGCTTGTGCTCAATAAACTCGGTACCGATGCTTTAATCAATGACATCTTGGGAGAGCTCGTCAAGCTTGGAAACAAAAGTGAGGCCGAACAGACGGTTAGTACGGTCAACAGTCTAACGCGGGAAGCGCCTTCCCTGGAGTCTCAGCGGTCGGACTCTCCGATGCAAGAGCTCGTGGCGGATGACGGGGAGAACCTGAGACCCGTAGTCATCGATGGCAGCAATGTGGCCATGAGGTAAGTGCCAAAGTCTTCACTGGGTATTACTAAACCATCTTTGAGAGGTGTTCCTAGTGTCGTGACCACTTTCTCTTCTAATAGTCACTGAAGTCAAGGTTATTCTGCATCCCCACATTAGCTTATGTATTTTTTGAAAAATGTTTAATGTTCTCATTTATTTTTGAGAGAGAGACAGAGAGAGCAGGGGAGGGGCAGAGAGTGGGGGACACGGAATCCAAAGCAGGCTCCAGGCTCTGAGCTGTCAGCACAGAGACTGATGTGGGGCTCGAACTTGTGAACCGGGAGATCACGACCTAGGCTAAGGTTGGCCGCTCAAGCGGCTGAGCCGCCCAGGTGCCCCTAGCTTACATATTTGGAATCGCATCTCTTTCACTTTTCTTCCAGCTGCCAGGGGGCTCTGCCAGTTCTCCTCCCGTTCATCCTTAGATACAGACCCTCTTTCCCCAGATACATGTCTTTTTGTTCCTCATCCGGCTAAATTACTGTGGCGTAGAAATCCATGCGTATTCCTGGTTGAGTGTTGACCACTAGTTTTAAACGAAGAACTTGACTGTGATAATATTCAACAATTTTGGAATCTAGTCAGGTAAACGGTCTACTTCTAGGTAAAGGCAAATAATCCTAGGGGGAAACACCACTTCCTTTAGAAAACTGTTTATATTGATTTGGGAACAAATCAAAGTTAGAGTTTCAAATTTTTTTGTTTCACTTAAGAAATGTAAACTCAAAAATAATTCCTTACAAGCTGGGGATAAAAAAGCCAAAGCGAAACTTCTAATGAAATTCTTTCTATGAATTTTAAGAACTCAAAATTTTAAGTGCATCTAAATTCAATTAGTGTAAAGTAAATAACCCCCAATGTTCAGAACACTATGAGGCTTATAAAGATGTGTAAAGGCATTGATTCTTTCAGAGAGCTTAGCATTTCACACATGGTTTCTTAAAAAGTGATCTGAGGATACCACAGAATCGTCGCAGAACTTATTAGAAATGCACATACTAGACCAGTGCTGTTCATTGGAAATGCACTGTGGGGCATGTGCATCATTTAAAATTTTCTGGTACCTACATCAAACAGTTAAACAGGTAAAATTAACATGGATGGTATATTTTATCTAGGCTTATAGACCCCAAATATCCTTTCAACATGTCATTGATAACGTTATTAATTAGGTATTTCGCCTTACTCTTTTGATACTGAGTCGTAAAGTCGGCTATCTTACACTCACAGCACGTCGCCGTTCAGACGAGCCTTACTTCAAGTCCTCAAGGGCCACCTGGAGCTGGTGGCCACCATACTGGGCTATGTAACTCTAGAGACCTGCCGGCTCTCCACGCGGACTGCCCAAGTCCAGACCCAGGTGCAACTCACACATCTCCTTGTGTAACGAATATGCCAGCTACCAAGAATGTGTACTGACATTTGAGAAGCACTGTTTTTAGCGGGTGAGGGTGAGGACTTACACACAGGGTATGAGAAGGACCAATTTGTAAGCCTCAAGATAACCTTCTCAGGTAGGACCAGCATTATCTTTCTTTCAGTTATAAGCCAATGAGACTTGCAGGATTTGAACTGCTCCTCCCAGGTAAAGCATAATTCAAACCCATGTATACCTGACTTCGAAGTCTGTACTCTTTTTATCGGATAATGAGAGATAAAAGCAAGTTGAAAAGGTTCAAGTCAGGCCTTCTAAGGCCTTGAGTGCCAAGCTAGAGAATTTAAACTTGACCCTGATCCAAAGATAATTGAAGATTTTTGAGAAGAGGACTATAAGAGTACAGTTGTGCCTTAGACTGTTAATCTAGCAGTGATGTTTAAAGTGGATCATAGGGACACCTGGGTGGCTCAGTTGGTTAAGCATCCAACTTCAATCACTTCTCAGCCTTTTGGCTAAGGTCAAGTGTAGTGTCCAACTTCAGCTCAGGTCATGATCTCACGGTTCGTGGGCTCTAGGTCTGTTTCGGACTCTGCGCTGACAACACGGAGCCTGCTTGGGAGTCTCTCCCTCTCCCTCTCCTTCTGTCCTTCCCTGATTCCCACTTTCTCTCAAAATAAATAAACCGGAAAAAAAAGAAAGTGGATTATAGGAGGTAGATCAATGTGGGTGCAAACAACCCTTTCTAATGGAATAAAGAGGGCCTGAAGTGGCATAGAAGTATGAAGTGTACATACGGCCTTGAGAAGGCTTTCAGTAAAATAACCTACTGTTTAATCTTTCCCGAATGAGTTTTTTTTCCTTGTAAAAATCCAGAACTAGCGAACAATTACTTTAGCAGAGTGATCATTTGTAAGGTCTAAACATCATGAAATCTCCAGGGGAGAGCCTAACGAATGAAGGTTCTGGAGGGTCACCTGTAACTATAGCCAGATATGACAATCACCAGGGCAAGTCTTGGGCTCTACGCTTGGAGAATCTGAATGAACGGGGCTGTGGTAGAGCCCACATCATCATATATTTTTGAAGGGTGAAGGTATTTCGGATGTATAGCCAGTGTCAAAAATCACTCAGCATGAGGGGGCGCCTGGGTGGCGCAGTCGGTTAAGCGTCCGACTTCAGCCAGGTCACGATCTCGCGGTCCGTGAGTTCGAGCCCCGCGTCGGGCTCTGGGCTGATGGCTCAGAGCCTGGAGCCTGTTTCCGATTCTGTGTCTCCCTCTCTCTCTGCTCCTCCCCCGTTCATGCTCTGTCTCTCTCTGTCCCAAAAATAAATAAACGTTGAAAAAAAAAAAAATTAAAAAAATAAAAAAAAAATCACTCAGCATGAAATGTGCATATTTACAGATCAGGAAGCAGAAGAAAGTGATAGTTCAGGGAAAGAGTAGTGTGAAAAGCACAACTGTTAGAAAAAAGTAAAATGCTAGAAAAACCAAGGATGTACTAATGCCGTCAAACTCGAAGAAGAGCAGGCTTTAAGGAGAGAGATTAGAGGACACGACAGCCAGGAAGTCACTGTCTTCAGGAATGCCACATGGCATTAAAGATCGAAGCCCGGTTACAGGGATGCCAAGGAAAGAAGCAATGGGGGTGTCTGGCTGGCTCAGTCAGTAGAGCACGTGACTCTTGGTCTCAGGGTTGTGACTCCAAGCCCAGCAGTGGGCATAGAGCCTACTTGAAAAAAGAAAAAGGAAAGAAAGAAAGCAATGAAGAACTACAGCTAGGTCAGTATTGTAGAAAGTTGACAGAGGAAGTGGAAAAATAGGATGAAGGAATGTTGGGGCAGGATTTTGTTTCGTTTTCAGTTTAAGAATGAACCTAGATAAGGAGGGGGTGGGAAAGAGAGTCTCCACAAGAGACGAAGACAGTAAGACTAGGACGGTTTGGCCTTCAGACCGAACCAACTGCCAATTCTGACGGAGGAAACAAGAAAGGCACAAGTGGAGTATTTGGCGTTAGAGGGGAACGCGCTTTTAGAGAGGCGCAAAGGGCATGAGATTTATAAAACCTGGAGCCCGCAGAAATGAATTTCCGAGATGGGTGTCCTTTAGATAAATGATGTCACAGTTGGGTCAGCCTCACATCAACTCATATGACCCAAACCGGCTCCCAATGGAAATGAAAGGTACTTGGATGATGGAAAATTTACGTAAGACTCTAAACTTTACTTCTCCCACATGGTGCAAATTATCCACAGGAAAACTGATTCAAAAATAGATGGCATAATGAAGGCATTTGAACAATCTATTCTTACATAATTATGAAAACAAACGTCTACCCCCACACCCTTTTGGCACCCCCCTGTATCGCTTGCTGTAAAGACGGGACAGTGCAGATTCTGTTCTCCTCTCCGTCATATATTTTAATCTGACACTTAAACGAAAGTGCTTCAGGCATTTCAGGACAGAACAGGTTGACAGGAAATTTTTATTATAGCAGAATTATACTGTCAGTCACAATAAAATGTTGTACCACGTCCATAACTTTGAAAGTGCCAGAACTCATGAAAATTCATAGTAAACTTTCATATTCTGCCATTTATAAGATCTACATAAAGTAAAAAAAGTCATTTAAAAATACATATCTACTTCAGATTCATAATCTTATTTTAACAGAAATGTAGATAGATTTCATCCATGTCATGTCTCATAAAATATAACATGGTCTTTTCAGATTAATTTCCCACTCATGATAAGTTAAGCAAACCTATTATATAATAAACTCATACACAAAATAAGTAAATACAAGCATGAGTTAAGAATAGAGTACTATTTTATTTTCTTTCTGATCTCTGAGGCAGAATGATTCCATATATAAGATGAGTATATTTTAGTTTCATTTAAATGCTAGCTATAGAAGTGATAGAAAATGATTAGATAGAAGTTAAAGGTAGAAAAGCCAGGGCATTTTTATTGAAATTGCCAAAGGAGACTTTTAAAAAAATTAGTTCTCGGGGCGCCTGGGTGGCTCAGTCGGTTGAGCGTCCGACTTCAGCTCAGGTCATGATCTCACGGTTGGGGGGTTCGAGCCCCGCGTCGGGCTCTGTGCTGACAGCTCAGAGCCTGGAGCCTGCTTCGGAATCTGTGTCTCCCTCTTTCTCTGCCTCTCCCCCGCTCGCATTCTGCCTCTCTCTCGCTCTGTCTCTCAAAAATAAATAAAAATTTAAAAATTTGTTTAAATTAGTGCTTTACATACCACTTTTGTGATTCTGAATTGTTAAAACTTTCCAGCCCCACTTTTCAGAACTGAAAAAGGGGGAAGTCTTACGGGCTTGTTATTAGACTTAAAGGTAATTAATACTGGGGCGCCTGGGTGGCGCAGTCGGTTAAGCGTCCGACTTCAACCAGGTCACGATCTCGCGGTCCGTGAGTTCGAGCCCCGCGTCAGGCTCTGGGCTGATGGCTCAGAGCCTGGAGCCTGTTTCCGATTCTGTGTCTCCCTCTCTCTCTGCCCCTCCCCCGTTCATGCTCTGTCTCTCTCTGTCCCAAAAATAAATAAACGTTGGGAAAAAAAAAAAAAAAGGTAATTAATACCAAGTGCCTGGGATGTAATAGGTGTTCAG